TCTGCCACGCCTCCTTCTGCCTGTTACATACATTTTAACAAAACCATTATACCCTGATTTCCCATTTTCAATGGGTTCAGGGTATAAACATATAACTGTACTGTTTGCAGGCATTTGTTCTCTGACCTTTTGAGCTTTTTTAAAAAATAAAAAACATTTCAATTCGCCTTTTCCATTACAGATATATAGCAGAGAAATAAGCAGCAGAAAACATACGGTTGAGATAAAGGCAGAAGAAAATATATTTTCTGGCAAGACAAAAGCGCAAATGAATTATTTTCCAGACTGCCTCAAGTTTTCAGCAAATGGATGGATTTTTATTGACTATTTGAACTATTGCCGAAACAAATATACAGACCCATCCATGCAGGGGATATACATCTAGCATATATACGTATATACCTATATATTGAGTGAATGAATATATATTTTAGCATTGTTTTTGGCATGGAGCGCAATATGTAAAGATATCAAATGCAATTAAAGCAAATTAACTGTCATCACGTGTGTGAGTGTGTGTGTGTGGGTGTGTATGTGTGTCTGTTTATCTGTATTTTATTTTGTCTGAGTTAGGAGCCTTTAAATTGTTGTGGCTGTTGTTTTTAGATTTACAAATTTCCCACGTTTTGCTCCTATAAACAGGTCGAGAATATGTAAATATATTTTGCGTTTGTTTTGCTTTGGCTTTGATCTGCCTGCTTTTAGACACAATATGTACCTAGACATAAGTACCCCCTACATATATGTATATATATATTTGCACGTACATACATACATATATGCATTATAATTTGTATAATAACAAATGATATTGTGGCCAGGGACATGAATGTGTGGGGGCGTCGCTACTGTTGGGCGCTTTTTGTTTATGGCCACCGCCCACCACCAGCTAGACCAGCCACCCTCCGCACACACATGCACATACACCCTATACACACACACACACACACACACACACACACACACATACATATATACATAGAGTTATATGTGTAGCCCAATAAATATGTTTATTGTATTTACATAAATTTCTTGGGAGGAAAACAAACAAAACAGCTGCAAAGTTCGCGGAAATCAAAGTTGACTATAGCTTGTTTATCAGCCTGCAGCTGTATTTAAATAAAATACAAAAAGAAACGGAAAAGCTTCAATAGGAATGCCGCACATTAAATACACTGTAATGCGCAGCTGCTCAGCTCATAAAGTTTGAAGTTTACATATACATATGAACTTAATTTATGAACTGCTTTCCGATATATATAATATTCAATATACACCCAGCGCATGTAGAGTATGTGCATATGGAGATGTCCCCCTATCAGTGGAATGTGTGTTGGCGTCTTTAATTGCCTTCGATAAATGGTGGGGCTGGGGCAAGTGTGGAATGCGCCTCTCAACTTTCGCTGGCTCACACTTGGCTGGGGACCCCTGACTGACCCTCGGCTAGATCATTCCACAGTTCTATGTCATTATGTCGTCTGTTTTACAACATTAAGTTCTGTCTTTTCTTATTTGGGTTGCGGGATTTTGACACACACACACAGCACAGCAGAGCACGGCGCGGGCAAGGTCAGTTGATGTCGCCAGAGATGACAGCGATGCCATCGTCAAGTTCAATAACCGCGACACAGATTTTGAAATGCTCCGTTATAAATGTATTTATATACATATATACACACACTTAATATATACACATAAATATGTATAGGTGCCAGTGCATGAATTAACCTTCGAACGCTGGCAATGCGATTGTGATTGTGAAAAGTGCATGCACACACATACAGTAAACTTTGGCTATAGGTAACACGCGTGCAAGACCCCTGCCAAGGCTAGTTTGGACATTATTCATCTTTACTTAATCTTAGAATGTCATTTTAATAGCTGCTTGCATTAAGTATAAGTGCAATTATTACTTGTTGGATAAGCAAATGAAACTGCCTTGAAATTCGGTTAATAAACCTGATTTTCCTTTCCTAATCTCATCATATATATTGGAATTTATAGCCCCATGTCGTTAGTCGTATGCTTTTTACTCAGCTTTAAATCATCTACTTAACAAAAAACTCTTCCAGTTCTATGGCAGTCAAACTTAGTCTTTGCAAATGCATTACTTCATTCGTTATTCATCAATACACACTTTACTACAAAACAACTGCGTTCATTGGCGTGCCAAAACGTAAAGCTTCTGCTTTTCATTCAGCATTTCATTAAAAACAGCTAAACTGGCCCGTTTTGTTCGCTTATCAGCAGATAAACGCATGCGATTGCAATTACAAATCCAACTCAAGTGCAGCTTAGCATATGTATGTATGTGTATTTAAGTATTTATATAGACTAAGCATCAGTATCAGCATATGTACATATATATATATATATACACAATATATATTTATATATATAAACATATATTCACATATATGCGTGGGTAATAAGCACTTGTAATCATAGACGAGAGAAACTGCAACTGGAAACAAAACAAAACCCAAGTTGAACCGAGACGAAGGAAGGCCAAGCGATATAGAATAATGAGCTTGGCTCTGGGGTTTTGCTTTCTGCTGACGGCGCGCTGCGTTTCGTAGATATATGTATGCTGTATACAAAGTGAAAATGTGGGTATATAGGTACGCTGTCTATTGACCTACATACAAATGACTCAGCCAATAAGAAACTTATCAGGCAGATTAGTAACAACGATCATCTAAGATTGTGCTAAAATATTATACTAAAATCTACAATCATTTTGCTGCGGTTTCAAAGTCAATTTGAGGCTTATCTCCCCAGCAGCTTACTCAGGAAGAATTTTCTTATCTCTCTCTCTGTCTGTATCTCTTCCTTTCTTTCTTTACACAGTATTTTGCTGTCGGCTCTAGCCGATTGTATTGTTCTCACTTGTTTCTGCTTTTTCTGTGATCCGCGCGCTCTAAAGTGGGTCAAGCCTAGAAAACTAGAATCGTAACCGATATACATACATATACATGTAAGTGCGTACTTCTTAAGTGCCTGCACACAGGAGGGAAACAATGCGATAGTGAGAGAGAAAGAGGACACGAGCAAGTGCTGAAAGAGCTATGCAATAACAATGCTACGCATGGGAGCCTTGAAATGGCAGGCAAAAACATCTGGCAACCTGGCTTGCCTGCCTGCACAGCCTCAGCGTCGGTCTTAACATCCTGTTTAACAAGTAACAAGCAAAACAACAGCTGGAAAATATATCCACAAAGTGAAACTCAAATTTCATGCCCAGGGGCGTTGCTAGGCGCTGCAGTGTGTGTGTGTGTGTGTGTGTGTGTGTGCGTGTTTGTGTGTATACATACATATTTAGTGTCTACACTTCGTGGGTGTCTGATAACATTTGCTTATCATATGATCTAATAGTCAAGTTTATCACCAAGGAAGCGACGTTAAATGTTCTTTTTTTATTTTATTGATTTGGCTAAACGATGAATCACGTTCTACCCATTTACCGGCAATATAACGCAAATTAGCCACGGAGCTACAACGAGAACAGCAACAAAACAACGAGCACACCCCTAACTAAATCGATAGCAATGAATAAGAATACCCCTACCACCAGGCCCGGGGCACACGCAAGTTTCGTTAGACCGTCGTTAATGCTTAGCACATCGTATGCAAAATGCCTTCCTCTCCCTCGCACTCTCATACTAGTTGCCCGCTCAGTTTCGTAATCGGCAAGTACGCCCAAATACATAAAACAAAAAAACACCAGCAAGCTGAAAAATATTTGCACTTGATAGCAAATGCGACAAAATTTCGGGCCTGAAGACAGTACACAATGCAGATCACGATTCTTAAGTATTTATAGTTTGCGTCTGTAGACGCCCCAAAAATAAAAGAAAAAAAATCAAACTTACCTAAACAACAACGGCAGCAGCAGCAGCGACAACAACAGCAGCATCTGTATTAGGGAAGCCAAGCATAATTGACAGGCACTGCAGCTGTATCTATGTTTAAACTATGTTTCACCCTCGCTCTACACGCACAACAAAATATGAAAATAAAAAGTGACGGCAGAACCGATTACACGCACGTATTCGTTGTCCACAAGACTTTAAATAGTATTTAATTAATTAATGTGAAATAAAAACGCGCGCGGCGTACGCACATTGAATTATTATTGTCACAATTACTGATTGGCTTCTATTCTCGCAGTGTGACCAGCACCGGGCAAGCTCAAAAATACCAACCCATTAGTGTTGCAATCCTATTTGAAGCAAGTTGGCAGCACAATCTAACATGCGAACTGTGGCAGCTCTACACAATGCGCGCCAGGAATTTGAATGAAATGTTGAATTAGATAAATGAATGTAGATAAGTCTATCTGGTTTGTATATATTAAATAAAAATTCAATCATTTTTGGTTAGTTTAATTTATTTTGTATGCATATTGTATAATTTGTGTTATTATGGTTATCATATAATACATAAATAAATTAAATTATATTCTTTATGCATAAATATATGTTATGTATTTTTTGGATTTCATTCAAGATATCAATCATATATATATATATATTTGTATGTATATATATGTTTGGTTTACCGCCTGTCCTTCATCGGAATACACCATAAAATATATATTTCAAACTCAACATTTCGTTTGCAGTTGGTTTTTTGTGTTTGTGTTATTTTATTTTTATTGTAGCAAAGTACAATTCCAATTGTTAGTATTGTTGAAAACAATATAAAATAGTTTTTTCATGCTTTAATTCAAGCTGCTTAGCAGTTGAAGACTCCTTATTTTCGTTTCCTTCCATATTTTATTTAAAATTTTTTTTATTCGTATTATTGTATTTCTTTGTAAGTTGCTTTATTTTTAAACTCGTGAGTTTTTTGTCTAGCGTCTTTAATGTATTGTTACGGCCGCAATTGTTTACGTGGTTGTTGTTTGTGTCTTATGTTTAAATATATGTATATATATATTTATTTCATGTTTATTTACAGCAATTGAGAAAAATGTTGCGCTAATATTTGTTATTCTTCGCGTTTCTTCTTCTTTTTGTTTGGAACGTGGAGCAGCTACATTTAATTTTGGTTTCGTTAAATTTGTCGCTAATTAATAAATAAATTTCGTTAGTTTTCTTTCATATTTTCTTTTCATTTTTGTTTGTACAATAGACGCGTATTTTTTGTGTGTGTTTTCAGTCGTTTTTCATTTACTTTACATGAATGTGCTGGAAATTATTGTTAAGTTATACTTGTAAATAATTCAACGCCTTTCAAATAGTTCCAATATACATATATATATGATTTACATATAAGTGTACACATATACATATATGTTTATGTATGTGTGTTTGTTTTTGGTTACCAGAATTGTATTTCTAAATTGACACAGATAATTGAAGATCACAAAGCGTAGTACGATAAAAAAGTATTAGTAAATCAATTTTGTTTATCCTTTTTGGTGGATAGGGGAAGGGGGAGTCGGGGAAAATACCATAAGTAATTAATTTCGTTAGGCTTTTGTATATAAGTATGTTACAATAATTACACAAATAGGGTATATATTACATACATACATGCATGTATATAATAATTATAATAATATATAATTTACGTTTTAATTTTATATGTATGTGTGTTTTCTTTTTCTTGTTCCAATGCCAATACGCAGACTTTAAAATAGTTTGTTTTTACTCAAAAATTGATTCTTGTTAGTGTGTTGATATAAAGTACAATAAAATGTTAAAATACAATACAATATAAATAAGTACACATTGTTTGGATTGTATTTAAATTGAATCAGTAGCATATGATGCATCAGGAGCGCGGGTGTGGGGGAGAGGGAGGCTCGTCATTTCATTATGAATGTGTTATTATTTGTGCAATATATTCTGCTTTTGATTGACAGCCGCACAGCAGGTAATGCTGCGCAATAGCTGGACTCGGTCGATTCGACTCAACTGAACTCAACTCGACTCGACTCGACTCGACTTCGATGCACACAGCAGGTAACAATTGCAACAAAAAGGGGGGCATGTCAAGGACGGAGGAAGTGGGGCGGCGGTCAGGGGGCGGGCTCACATTATATGCATGTCTTACACCATAGCAATGCACGATTATGATACGATACGATAACGATACATAATGCATATACATAATAAGTTCAGGACTTACACTCAAAAGTGAGGGCAAGGAAGTTGAGAGAGATTTCTTTGTGCTGTTCAAGCTAGTTGTTGACTCGAGGAATTTAATTCCAGCGACTTTCTTTAGGAATACATAATCTATACAAACGCGCGCGTATCTGTGTGTGTGTGTGTTTGTGTGAGTGTGTGTTATGTACATACGCGTACCTGTGTATATATGTATGTGTGTGTGTGGGTGTGTCTCATGTGTAACAGTTGGCTGACAAAATGGATCAGTTCTACTTAACCAAGCCAGGCCAAGAGAGACAGAGAGAGAGAGAGAGAGAGACAGATGGAGATATAAAGAGATAGATAGAAGCGGACTGTCTGTTGTCCCTTTCGCACACAATTTACTTCTTGCTCTTGCGCTTCTCCTTCTTCTCGTCGCTAGCAGAGGCTTTGGCAGCAGCAGCGGCAGCTGCATTGGCCGCAGCATTCAACAGATTCATATTCGGCTTAACCGTTCCCTTCTTCTGTGTGGCTGGCTGCTGGGGCGTGGCTTGCGTAATGTTGTTGTTGGGAGCTGCGCTGTTAGCATTGTTGGCATTTGCACTGGCATTAGCATTAGCATTGACACTGGCCGCTGGTGTGGCCGGCGTCTCGTCCAGGAAGAGCGGATTCTTGACCTCCATTTCGCCAGTTGGCGCCAGGCCGGGACATTCATAGACAGTGTAGTCGCCCTCCTCGTTGTCGTCGTCGCTCTCCACGTCGGACAGGCCGCAGCTGCCGTCGGTCGCCTGGCAATTCTCCATGGCTATGATCTGTTGCTTCTGATGCTGATAGTGATACATTTGAGCGCTCTGCGCCAGCTTGCGATCGCACGACGGTGAGACATCCTTGTTGGGACCGGTTACACCATAGGCTGGATAATCGACGTCTGCAGCGGCTTTGCTGCGATTGTGGAACCTATAAAGGGTGAGAAAGATGAACAGATGGGTTAGTTTTGCTATTAAAATGTATTGCAGTTGCTGTCGTAATTTTAAATGTAGTGATTATGATATGATCAATGAAATTAGAATGAAGACGTTTAGCTCAACAGCTAATCTTAAAAAATGGTTTGATATACATATTTTCCATTCAACCGGAAATAATTCTTATGCAAAGGAAATGACATAAGTAGTACAAATAAACGAGTTATTTTCCCACGCGTCGTATACGTAAAATTCTAGAAGCATATGCTCAAACGTGTGGACCCCCTTCTGCGTACGACAGTGCGTATGCGTAATGTTTATGAGAAATATATTCAGATATTGTCAGTCATAATCAAACAGGCAGGTTTATTTTAAGCATCGTCCGCGTGATATATGACAAATATTTTTACCCCAGTTACGTTTGCTTTTTTGTTAAATATATCATTTTCATTTCATGTGATATCAGTTAGAGGAACAAATGATATTAACGGCATTGACCATGCTTAGCAAGAAAGGATTAAGAGTTGAAATGATTAGGTTAACAAATAATATATATTTTAATAAATAAAACTTATTTCATTTCCTCTCGTCTCACTATTGGCTGTTATCTTCAAGTAACATGCAATTATTTCTTACATTTACCGCTTCACTCCCAGCCTCTTGAAGCATCAACTAACTTAGTAAAGCTTTCAATTAACATTCCCGTCTTTATCTAAAACTCACCAAGTAACGCCCAGTGCCAGAAGTCCCACAGTTACCGCCGCACTGACACCCGCAATGAGGGCGACAAGGTAGACGCCCATCTCACTGTTCATGCCCAGATGCTGACGCAGGACGAGCTGCTCGTTGGCATCACCTGTGTTGACTGCATAGGCCGACTGCGGGGACTTGCTTTGCTTTTGCAGCTTATCAATCAGTGCATTTATCTCGTTGGGCGACTCCTTGGTCTGGGGCAGATTGACGCCGGCCACTGCGGCAGCAGCTGCCGATTGCGGCTTAATGCGATGGAAGTTGGCGATGGCCGTGTCCAGGAGCTTGGGTGGCTCCTGCTTTGGCGAGGACTGCACAGGTGATTGGGGCTTGCTTTTGGCGGTCACTACCTCGGAGCCGGCGTCCGGTGCCGGTGCATACTCCTCATAGTCGTCCAGGGCACGAGAGTCGAGCTCACCCGACAAATCGTTGGCCGTATCAAAGAAGCGCGCATCATTGGGACCCACGGCAAAGGCGATGCGGCCACGCGACTGACTCGGAATAATGCGATTGTAGTTATTATCCAGGCTATCGAAATTGGGCATCGGCTGTCGCATCATATCGGGCACCGTATCCAGCGGACTGCCATATGCGGCATCCCCCTCCACATTGTCGTATTGGTCATATTGATTATTCAAGTTGTTGTTGTTGCTGTCGTAATCGTTCTTCATCTCGGCCAACACCTTGGCCTCCTCCTGCTGCCGACGATACTGTTCGTTCTTAAGCAATTGCCGCTGACGCAACAGCTGCTGATTAATCAGCTCCAGCTGCTGCTCGAATTGCTGCTGCAGTCGGCGTCTAGCGTGATCCTCCATGAGCTGCTCATAACGCTGCGGCTCCATAGCCGAGGGCTGTATAGGCCGCCGGCGAAGACCTGACAGAGAGAGAGGAGAAATGCAATTGATTAATTGAGCACAGTTGGGCGTGGACATGGGCACTCATTATGCTAAAATGTCAAGGAGTGCGAGAAAGAGCTAATGCTAATGAGACGGACATTGCGTGCCAGTTGCTGTTCAAAAATAAAAGCAGAGCCAAAAATAGAAAGCAACACACCAAGCCGCAGAATGCGGAGGAAAGGCTGGAGCTGCGTGGAACACGCCCAAATAAAACTAAATATGCTACCGGAATAGACAAACAAAAAGTCAATTTAATTGCCAATGCCTTAAAATAGACCAATTACTGCACACACTAACACACGCACGCACACACACACACACGCGCACACAGACAAACAGACGCGCTGTGACGTGCTTGGAAAAACTTTATTACAATTTCAGCGCTGCCCTGAAAAGTAGGCTATAAAAAGCGTGTTAAGCTGAGACTGCAACTAACTCGAACTCAAGCAGCCAGCAGGCGATAGGCTATATATAGTGTGGTGGGTGGCAGCTGGGTTGGGTTTGCTTTCAACACCTATACACGGACACACGCATACATACCTATAAACGCCAACTGCTTTCGCTGCAGCTTTTCAAGTGTGTGTGTGCGTGTGTGTGTGTGTGTTAGGGTGTTTTGGTTTGATTCGTGCATATTTGATGCGCGATATATATGTATAGACACCCACACACACACACACGCACACATACACATGCACACTTATACTATACTCATGCATATCTAGTATAGAGTATACACAAAACGAAGTGGCAAGCGGCTGCTGGCGCCCGCCCTTCAGCCCCATTCACGACGCAAAAGTTTAAATGACATGCACACACACAGTCGTACCTCTAACTGGCGGTAAATATGTATGTGTGTGTTGGTTTGTGCTATTTTTAGGCATATGTACCTGGGTAAACGGACATCTCGCAGTGACCCAATATGCTGCACATGAGTATTGCAATCAGTGCGCAGCTTATTTCCATCCGCTTCGCCATATTGTAGTACGTTTCACTCTCGTTCTCTTAACTGTTTATTGCCGTTTTAATGGTTTTTAACAATTTAATTGTTTTTCTTCGCTTTTTCAATTAACACTTTGGTATAGACACTTGGCAACTGGTTACCATATGGCCGGTGTTAATGCGAGCCGTGCATAGCTGCTGTTGCCCTTTCAGCCTTTAGAGTTTATTGATTTTCACACCAATACACACGGACACACACACACACACACACAGGCATACAATTAGAAGGCAGCTGCTGGCCACAGAATTCGCGTGGGCGTGCAATATTTTCTATCTTCTTTGCAATTTCCTCAACTGGAATTGGACTCTCGACACTTTGCGCTCGGATATTTGAATGCCAACTGCACCTGCACCGGCTGCCACAAATGTCAAATGTTGCACTTTTCTTTCAGTTTTGTGATTGCAGTGAAATTCAGTTATGGAAACTTGTGGGGCTGCTGCCAATTAAGAGTATTTGACTTTTCTCGTTCGAAGCTCTTTGCGTTCTTCAATCGCCGACGTATACCGTTATACTGAATGAGCTCAAAAGCAAGCAAAACCAGCAATTGGTAGCTGTGACGCAAATGTTATGTCCGCCCCCGCGCTGTTAAATGTTGCGGGCAGCTTTTGTGGCCGAGCCCAACAACAAAGAGCACTGAAGGCAGCCCGGCGCATGCGTTCTAACAGTACACAAAAAAAGCTCGACACGTCCGAACAGGAAAGTGTGTTTGTGTGCGTGTGTGCGTGCAGGGATTCTTTGAATAAACATTCATGCATTCATGAAAAAGCCGAAGCCAGATTCGACTCCTTGAACAGCTAGCAGGTGGCCGCTACGTAGTCATGCACACACACACACACACGCACGCACACACGTACATACATCCATATACACACTTGATGTTTGACATGTACTTGTGCAACCCCACAATTGTTCGTTTGGGATAGGGCAATTTATTTTTATCAATGAATTTTCAACCCGAAAGCTTTCTATTCACAGGAACGTATAAATGCTGCGCATCTTTGACTTTCCACTTAATATAGAAAGCCCAGGTAAAGAGTTATCTGAGTATATCAATTATGAATTAGTGTATCCTAAGCAAAATAAAATATTAAATTTATTCTTACTCGCCGGATTATTTGAATTTTAATCTACGATAACAATATCGATCTCTATATTTTTTAATTTTTAATTTTTCTTGTTTTTTACTTTTACAAGCTGGATAATAGCTTAATATTCTCGCCTTTTTCATAAGCTATTTAGCTCTAAATAGAATTAATTGCGTTAACTGTCAATTAGACATTCATAGCTATAAAAATTTGTTGTTATTTTACCTGTTCATTTTGATTGCACTTAAAATAAAGAATACCCCGCTTAAAACGCTGCTCTTAAGACGCGTTTTATTACCAAAAATACACTAAATATTACATCGCAAAAATACTGCTTTTGATATATACATGTTATCGATACCTAATCATTGTTATTCGTGAATCATATTCTTAGCCTAGCCACAAAGAAAAACCATAAACAAATAAAATGGGATCTGAGAAAGGTATTAGTGGAGCTATAACGTTGAAAACGATATTGACTAACTACTTATTATCTTTTTACATGGTTTAATTAATACCACCCAACGTATTTGCCGCCGTCTACTTGTCATCGCACCAACAACAACGAAAATACCACCACCTATAGTGTAAGTCGCAACACAATATATATGTATATATATGCACATCTATGTGTGCGTTTTTCCAGCATTTGATAACACCTGCACTTTTTGTTCCAGTTTGATTATATGCGCGTTTCTAACGGTCCTGGGGATGACATTCCTAATCTTGGCCTGTGCGCTGCCCACTCCAAAGATATTCTACCCATTCTTCGTACTGCTATTTTATGTTTTGTCTGTGTTGCCCGTTTTCATATCAAAACGGACGACCCCAAACAACGAAACTAATCCGAAATCGGAATTCGCCCTTTTCCTTACTGCTGGTATGGTGCTGAGCGCCTTTGCATTGCCCATCGTCTTGGCACATTCGGCTGTCGTAAGTTCTAAATGAAATTCGATTTATAATATATCTATAACAGCTTTATCTTTGCTTAATCCTCCAGATAAGTTGGACTGCGTGCACGCTGACGCTAATAGGAAACGTTATAAACTATTCAACCATGTTTGGTTATGCCATGCGTGATGATGGCTTCGATGCGCCATATGGAGGCATGTTTTAAATTGAAATCGAGTTTAATTTTAAGCGCCCGTCTACGATTATTGGATGTAGCAATTTGGATGCCGCTAGTTTCATCCAAGACGACAGTCAATCTCACAGTAATAAATATATTCACAAAACAAATATTTAATTGAAATAATATACATAATAGTTATAAACCGTGCACGAAGTATGTTTTTTATGACGATTGGAAATGATACACAGTCAATTAGTTGGCAAGTGGAACGGAGCTCATATTTATATGTATTTTGCAAATGAATAGTTTTATTTCAGATGAATATTTTGATATGCAACAACATATATAATTTTATGAGTTCAAAAGTATTTACTGACAAAATAGAATAAAATAGAATTGAACTTGTTCCACATAATTTTTGAACTGTTTGATGCAAAATCAATGTATCGAATATCGATAGGCTCAGGTGTGCCAGTTCGCTCGTGAACCAAACAGTGTCAATTGTTTTTTTGAAAGTTTGGTAGCTATGGAAATTCCAGCAAAAAGTGTTTCGATTCACGGAGACTATTTTCGACCGGCTATTTCCCAATCAAAAGAAAATGTTGTTCAAAATGAGGGGGCAGAAGATGAATACGACACGTATGGGGATTCAGAATGGGAAATTGACGTGGCCAGCGAAAGTACCTTGGACAGCGCCTATAGCGAGTTTGAAAAGGAGCTCGCCACTGAGACACAGCCAAGCAAAGAAGGGATAAATCAGCCACACAGGAGCACAGCAGGCTTGAACGATGTTCCAATGCACAAATATCCATTTAAGCTAAAGCAAAATGAAGAGGGGTATATCCTAAATAGTTTTCTGATTATATGTATGATATATTTCATGTTTTTATAATATTATATTTAGAAACATACTCACTGTGCACAATACAATCAAATCTGTGGACAAGGATCTAAGGATTCGCATTGCTGCTTACTGCTTTAATGAGATGAGCAACAAACTGGTTGTCATTGACAGGCGGTGAGACTCACTGATTATTTCTGTAGACAAATCTAGATCTTACAGTGTCTATCCCATACACAGTGGCAACATCTACATCTTTGATTTTGTGTGCAAACGATATTGGCGTCTGGGCTTCATAGTGCCAGAGGCAACTCTCCTGCGGGCTTCACCGCTGGTGCATAATGAATACATTGTGGGTACTGAATCGGGCTATGTCTTTATCTTTAATGTAGAAAAGGCATCTATGGTGCACACTAAAGTGGGCGATGACGCTATTAATGAAATTTCCTTTGGAAATCGACTTGACAGTAACACTGCAAGCAACAACTTAATACGCTTAGGAGCTACGGCTGTCCTATTGAACTTTACCACGTTGCAATTGTCGCATAGACTTGAGTTTGATCACTCCAGATATACATTGAAGTTTGCCAGTTATCTACCCAAATCGGATAAGTTTTTCACATGCTTCACCAATGACGCGGTTCATCTCTGGTCCAGCAGCAATCTGGGAACGGTGTATATTTCGCAACCCATTAAAGCACGCGATCGCACGATACGATTGATGCGTGGCGACACGTCAAAGATACCAGAGATTGCCTTACGTGCTGAATATGATGAGGAGGAGGACAACTTGGATGATGAGCTGGCATTTAAGTATGATGATCAGCATTTTTCCGATGGCAAACTACTTGCCTATACTTTCTCTCCAAATGGGAATAAACTCTTGTTGAGCACAGTGGATGGATATTTGATGATGCTCAACACAGCATCCCTTGACTTGGAAAAGCTGTTCAAACTCCGCGACTTCATTTTGAAGCAATTCATGCTGCTGGCACAACCCAAGAATCGCATTCTGTTTGCCATCACAGCTACCGGGATGGCTGTCATGCTGGATCTGTTGCAGACGGAATACAAATTAATCGTGCAACGTTCGAATGCTTTGAGCCTAAGTGTTAGCCGTGATGGCAAGCTGCTTAGCATATTGTCTAAAAGTGGCGAGGTGAATGTCTGGTCCACTTGCCGGCTGTATAATTCACTACATGCACAGACGAAGTGCATTTCGCAGGTGCGCGCCGCACTGAAGCAACCGGCGGTCAAGCTGGCTGGTCTCGTCAGTGGTCCAATGAATCAAGAGCTACGAAAGCTATTAAAACGTGAACGCTTGGAAGCTATGCTCGCTGAGTATGGGTTTTATCCGGAGAAATATAGATTCATTATATGGAGTGTGCTGCTGGAGTTACCCTCTAACACTGCCCAGTTCCAAGAGCTGCTTAAACACGGACAGCCTCAAGTGGTCAAGCAACGTGCTGCTAAGATAAAGTTGAAAAGCGATGCTCAGAGACGAGGCGTTATAAAAGTGTGGAGCTGCTTGGCTCATTGGTGCAAGGTGTTTGGCCACACGGACTTTATGCCGGATCTTATCTATCCGTTTGTCAAGCAGATGACCAAGAACAGTTTGGTAGTATTTGAACTGCTTGTGACGCTATTGCTCAACCATTTGGCATTATGTTTTGAATTCCATCCAATGCCGCCAGGCAATTATCTGGCCTTGTGCGAGAACGTGCTGCAGGTGCATGATAAGCAGCTGTCCAAGTTCTATGGTGCAATGGACGTGCAGCCAAAAGATTATGCCTGGTCGTTGCTTACCAATGGCTTTGCCGAGGTTCTGGACGAGCAGCAGTGGCTAGTGCTGTGGGATAATATTTTAACAAATCCTCCATACTATATTGTATTCGTAATTGTTGCTTATAATATGATGCAACGGGAGATCATTATGCGTCTGCCGGAAAAGTCGGAGGTGGTTGACTTCTTTCACGAGCAGACGCCGATTGATGTCACGAAATGGTTGAACCGCGCCCGTAAGCTAATGAGCAATTGTGCTACCGAGGTGCATCCAGAGCGTTTCATGGCACCCTTTAAGCCCATACCCAAGGGCGTCTATCCCAAGTTTTTAAAATATCCCAGGGAGTGGATCGAGCAACAGGAGCAACTTAGTGATGAGCTGATGAAACAGCAGCAGGAGATTGACGCACGATTACGCAAATTGGAATTGGAGGAGATCCAAATGAAGGAACGTCTGCAGGAGGGTCTCAAGCAGGAGGAGCATGCGCGTCGCATCAAGGAAATGGAACAGCTCTACCAGGACACCATTCAGCGTGAGGAGGAGCGCATTGCCTGTCATCGCAAAATGTTGCTGACCTATCAAATGGAGGCACGACAGCGCAAATGTCAGGTCTTGTCTAAGTTGCAGGAGACGGAGCAGCGTCGCAAGATCTTGGAAATGGAGAAGGACATTGATGGACTGATGCGCAGTGTGGAGCGCGAGCGACGTCGTCAAAATCAAGAGATGCTTTTCGCCGAGGACGAAATACGCAACCAAGAGATGGAGCTAATGGCACAGCGGTATTCCAGCTGCCTACTCGATTCACCTCTGACCGTCAAATACTACGAAGAGGTACAAAAAATGCGCAACGAAAGTGATAAGCTTAAGAAACAGCTGAGAGAGGTGAGTGATAATCATTTAAATATTTATGAGTACCTATACTATATAAACCTATATCGTTCGCCAACAGATGGCCATGGAGCAAGTGCAAAGCTCCACAGAACAACCTTCAACTCCCTCGAAACTCAAAGCTATTGAGTATTCCATTCATGAGATACAACAAGAACTGACGGACATTTTGAATAGCGAGAGCAACAGTCAATAATCGGGGCAATATATATTTAACAGAACTTAGTTAAAAAACTAAAAATTATTTAGTTTAAATATTTTAACAAATCTTTACAAATATTATTTACGAAATGTTTTCGAAGCAAAGACTTATTAGCTAACATCATTAATTATACATCAAAATTGTGCATTATTAACCAATAAAAATTAACACAATATTTTTATACCTATATATTATTTAACATATTTATTATATACAAATAGATTGGTACTAACATTTATATGTGTAATAGATTTTTATAATTATATATACATTTTGTATTAAATCAATATTTTTTTAGATCTACGATCCTCAAGCCTAAAGACGCTTTTATAAATATATATGCAACCAAATTGTATCTTAATATGCATGTAAATAAAGTCATAGATTATAAAATTTGTTGTGCTTATAGAGGAAGCGCGTTGAACCGCACTGGTTACAATTTTAAATAAATATCATTTATATACAAAAACTTTCCTCCCACAATCTATTCTCTTAAGTTAATTTAAAGGAGAAGCAAACCATTTGATGGCATGATTCTCAAAGAGTTAACTTAAAGTAAGTTTTATATATATACAAACAACTCTTTTCATTTTGTTATTTGAAAAAAATTGCCTATTCTATTGTCACTGTTCAGCTATATACATATATATGTGCATATATGGACCTATGCATAGTAATTTATGTACAAGGTCTTAATCCTATTTCTGAGCCACTCGGTATCTATAAGAACCTATCTATATCAAGGCTTACTTCTGATCCAGTGGCTGACCAGGCACTAACATCTTGGGCACGTTGATGACCAGGTGTATGCTAGATGGCGGTATTTGCAGATGATTGCCAATAACTAGTGGCGAAGAAAGAGAAAAGTTGTCTTTAAATATCCAAGTGCGCTTGCTCCATTTGAGTATTCGCTTACCACTCGCAGTATTGTTGCCTTGCTTTTGCAATTCGCGCTCTAATGCCGCAACCCGCTCGTTTAGCTTTGTTATCTGTTGCTGCAGCTGGGCGTTGTGCTCTTTTAGATCTCTATGCGCATTGCGCATCTTGTCGCGATAGCGTGAGGCAGCTGCTCGACGTCGTTCCATGCAATCCTCGTTGCGTTTGACCACTGCCTTCGTCTTGGGAGGTGATGAAAAGCTGCGCTGCTTTCGATTACTGTTGTGGCTGTTGTTGAGTATGGCTTTGAGGCGTTCCTTTATGGGCAGCTGTGACGTGGGCGTTAGACTAGCGCTGCTCGGCTCATTGACTGGCGGCACTGTGTTCTGTGTAGAAGGCCCTGTTGGGGCTTTGTTTGGAGCAGTTGTACTGGGCTTAGGTAAGATAAAGGGACGCACTGTTTGCTTAGAAGGCACTGGTTTGCTTATGGTGGCAGGTATCGTAGTAATAGGTAGCGTTTGCGCTGGCAGCACCCACGTGATCACAGGTGGTTGTATTAGCTGCAATGGAGGCGGACCTTGAGCTG